TAAAGACATCTAAAACTGCAGAAAAGACAAGTAAATGACTTTGAAGCATAAAAACAAGTAATGTAAAAGATTCTCTGGAAAAAGATTCGAAATATGAAGAAAGCGTTTAAATGCAAGAAAACAGTAAAATGACTTTAAGTGAAAAAAGTGTTCGAATGATAAAAGCTTGAAGATAAAGGCATGTAATGTACAAAAGTTTCTGAAATGTAAAGTATTTGAAATGGAAAGAAAGCATTTAAATGTAAGGCATCAGTAAAAAGACTTCGAATGACAATATTTTAATGCAAAGGCTTTTGAATGGTATTGACATGAAGATAGAGGAAAATACTGGAAATGATAAAGAGTTTTATTAAATCATAAACACTTGGTGTTATCATACGTACATTGCTCGTGCATTCGTTTCTCTAGCCATGTGGTATTTTGAATGTTTACTGATTTTTTTGTACAATAGATATGACACACGAAATCCTAATGCTAAGACTTCTATTTATACTACTTCGACCATAACGGTCTTGCTATAAGATCCTGCCACGTTCAGAACATGCAGAGCAATGCCTCTCTCTAGCTTCCACGCGTCTTCGAATGCTCCAACGCATATATTTTAAATTTCGAACATCCCGCTTGCATTTGAATTTCAAATGTTTTGGCACTTCTTCGCTTCGAACGCATTTCTTGGACACAGCCTTGTTATCACTTCGAGACTTCTCTGAATATATCCTCATAACTGTCACTCGAAGCTCCTAGTTTTGATATGCTCATTCGAAGCACTGCTTCTACCATTTCGAAACATGACATCTTGCTTTATTCCAATCGAAACGTCCAATTTGCTTCGCTTCTAATAATATCATCAAAATCTTCAGCCAACACCATCATAATGGAATTAGAAATTCGTTTGATGATCAAACCATCAATTACTAATAACAGTGTAATGCAATGAGACTTCATCATCATATTAACAATTCAACAATGTGCAATGCGACTGACACTGATGCAAAATGCATGTGATACCATTAGGGAAAAACCCTCATCTTAATAATGCCAACTTAGGGCAACAACTTCATAACACCAATACAGGCCATTGTAATAGGGCAAAAACTTCATCTTAATAATGCCAACTTGGGGCAACAACGCCAATACAAGCCATCTTTCGCCAATACAAGCCATCTTTAATGAATACATGCGACACTGATATGTAACAACATAATTTCACATTGATTACTTTTATTTATAAATTCTACGCCATTACAGGCCATCATCATCATTATCATGCATATCATGTCACACAATTAAAATGCAACATCATTATACTCAATCATAATACCAATCTCATTGATTCTATCATCATATTCACAACTTCACATTACATCAAAAAACATGAATAATACAAGAATCTAGAAAATCATATCATACTGTTTTCAAATCATTTTTATTGAGTAGAAAATATTTTTAGCTTTCTGTAGGTTCGAACGGCGCATCAAACGAACACCCGAGTTAAAAGTTATGAATTTTCAAAGATTTTCAAGAATCTGTCAGTTTCAGTAGGGTGCCCGGGTACCCATATATGGTAATCGGTTACCCCCTGTCAACACGGTCAAAAAACTATTTTTCGAGTGGTAACCGGGTACCCATATATGATAATCGATTCCCACTGTTCCAGAATAAAAAAACAGATTTTTATGTTACGAAAAACACTTATTTATCTGGTAAATATGTCTAACGTCCACTTATTATACCGTTAATGTTTATAATTGAACTTTCCACATTCATACCTCAATACCAACCATTTCAATTCACACAAAAACACAATTAAGCACTTAAATTAACTGATTCTTTTATCCAAATCAAAAATCATTATTATAGCAATTACACACAAACATCACCCATCAATCAACTTCATTTATACAACATAAAATATAAGAATTTCACATCTATTCGTCATCAACAATTGTCACATAGATAAATCACATAGAATACCCAATTCTCACAAAGATAAACATATAAATTATTATAATTTACATGTGTCCAAAATATAAATAAGAAAAATAAATTTTAAAAGAAAGATATATTTTAATATATGTATGAATCATTAATATAATGTTTTTATATATAAAAATATTTGGATGAATTGTAACTAATATTTTTTTTATTTTGATATTATATTTAAAATGTTTGTATAAAAAAATTGCTCCCATGTAAAATAAAATTAAATAACAATATGGTTATTAAATAAATTGTTGTTTAGAAAAAATTATGTCTTCCTGTTTGGTATGGTTCGAAGAGTCTTAGAGTTATGTGCCAAAAGTCACTCCAATCCAATATTATTCTATTACAAATTTAGAATATTGCAAGGGTCTAAGATTTTCAAGTGGCTATAGTTGAATTCTATGGATATTACCACTGCATATTTTCATCAAATGGTATACTAAGGCAAATTGGGGGAAATATTTCCTCTAGAAGTGTAGCACAAATGTTTCTCATCATATAGATTAACTGTATCTTCCGTATGCTACTCAGTATACAACATTTACCAATATAGAACGGTTTCATCATAATCAAACCTATATATATTGCATACTGTTTCTAGAATAATATATTGCTAATTAGAGCAATAATGAAGTAGATTATGAATATAAATGGGATAAAAAGAACCAAATGAATAGCAACCGAGTTCAGAATCCTCTTCAAGATTCAGTATGTTTGCTTTACTTGGGTCTGCAAACAGCAACTTTGACACAAGGTATCCTGCAATTGACCATGTCTGAAACAGTATAGAAAACTACAATCAAGTCTCTGACCATTTCTCAGTTATTTTCATGCAGAAAAACCATGCTAGTGTGATACATGTGCAAATTTTCAAAACATCTTCAAACAATAACATGACCTTACATTCTCAAAATGCAGAACCTGTTCTTATTGTTCTGTGTTGCAAACATAAAATCCGAATTGAACAACTTCCAGTTTAAATCCATTATTACTCACGAAATTAGTCTGGAATAGATTATATATTTCAACTTCCTCAAACCTTATAACATCATATTGCAGACAAACAGTGGAGCACTTGAAGAAACGGCGAAGTCGGTGTGGAGAAGAAGAAAGGAAGATATGGATGAAGAAGGAGTTGTGGGATAGTGTGATAACGTGTATGCAGTGTGCAAAAGCATATGGGATGGGTAGTGTGTAAAAGTGGGAAAAGATGGGTTCAGTTTGTATGCCATCGAGATTTCATTGGGCAACATTTATGTAGTTTGGATTTTAACCTCAAGTTTCTATGTTGCAAGGCATGTAGTTGGAACCAAAACATGTACTTCAATAGTTATAGTTCATGATATTGCATCTGTTGTTATCTTCACATTCTTGATATTGGTTAGCATGGATTGATGATGGTTTGCAGGGTGAAACCGAACCATTCAAGCCTTTTTCGCACCGATACCGTACTCCTTATATATTGAACGTAGTACAAAATGGAAGTATGTTTCTACCAAAAAACATAGCAATGTTCTTATGATAAAAGGAATTTTAGAAAAAAATCTTATAATACTATTAGTATCATTTCTATGATTTCTATGAAGAAAATTATTTTATGCAGAAACTTGAAACTTATTTGTATCATGCAGGATTTTAGGAAGTTTGTCGTTTGCTTCGCTTATGTCGCCAATCGTTGTTTTGTATAACTCGATGTCATTACTTTGCTTATTATCACAGCCGTAATTGAACTTTAACTTCAACTCCGAAACCTGGTGCTATCACTTTAATTTCAAAACTTGAAAATTGAATCAATAAACCAGAACACCATATCCGCATTAGGCTCCTATAAAAAAACTGTAATAATTTCCACTAAGACTTTTTATTCTAGATGGTCTAAATAGATCTACATGAAGGAGTTCAAGAGGTCTTGATGTAGAGATAACATTTTTAGATTTAAATGAGATCCTTGTTTATTTCTCCATTTGGCAAGCATCACATAAGTGATTTTTTGAAAATTTTATCTTGAGTAAACCAACAATTGAATCTTTTGAAACAATTTTATTTAACAAGTCAAAGTTAACATGCGCTAGTTGTCTATGCTTAAGTCATGAGTCTTCGTTCATGGAGACAAGACATTTAGTTCCGGTTAATGATACTTCATTCAAGTCGAACATGTATAAACACATCATCTTTCTTGTCATTATTTTCAATTATGCAACAATCTTTAAAAAAAAAGAGATTTTGTATCTTGTCACATAATTGACTAATACTAATAAGATTATATTTAAGACTTTCAATTAGAAGGACTAAAAGTCATTCAAGTTGTTGGATAACTTAATAAACCACTAGGCCAGTTTAACTTTAATGAAAATTTTACAACGATATCTCTTATCCTTTCATACTTTATATGCTATTCATACTTTCTCAACATCAATTTTCCAAAAACACATCAACCATGTCATATATATATATATATATATATATATATATATATATATATATATATATATATATTTTGTACACTCATTAATGAATACAAACGAAAGGACAAATTACTTAATTTTTAAGATTTATGAGAATATTTTACACTTTTTAAAAGATAAAAGACTAAAATAAATTTAAAACAAAATTAAGAAATAAAAAAAATATTTTCCCAAAAAAAATCAATTGTCACCTATTTTTCTTTTACCAAAAAGAAAAAAAGAGATCCAAAACTATTTAAATATAAAATGAGAATTGACGATTAAGGAAAAAATAGAATTTATTACTAGCAATTAAAAAAGAAATTCATAAAAATCATTTTTAAAGTATAAAAAAATTGATTTCACGGGATATTGCTTTGGTTCTTCTCCAGGACCCTCACGGCCAGCATCGCCTTCTAAACCTCTGCCTTAACCCTTCCCTCAATCGCTCTCGTAAGTTCTTATGAGTTTTATTTTCGCTTTTTTCCGTTGAATTTCACTTTAATCGATTCCTTCTTTTTTTTTTCTTTTTCGGTTGAATTGCAGGAGAAGGTGTTGCTGATTGACGAGAAGATGCATCCTCCTTTGACATTGCACAAACACCCTATGTGCACTGAAGTCAGTTTCTTTCTTTTATCACTTTTTTGTAATGTTTAATTATTTGTTATTAGAAGTGTTTATGATCTCATTGTTATGAGAAGTGTTTATCACCCTAGTTGGTAGGAATTCTGTTATTGAATACATCTTCAAGAAATGCAAGATCTTGCAGGTGGAATTGTTGGAACTATATGAGTTTAGAACAAACTCACAAGGGGTGTTTTTGAGTGTCCTGGTTCTATCATAAATTTCTAACCATTTCTGTCATAAATATTAGATAGTGTTTGGATGAAGAGAATTCAAACAATTAGAAATAGAGGAAGAAGACTTGAAAAACTATAAGAGATGTTATTAAAAAAAAAATCCTGAGATTAACAATTTGTATAGAAGTATGGTAGTGGAGAGAATATTATAGCGAATGTTGATCCATGTAGGAAACTCCACTAAGTAGGATACGGCTTGATTGTTGTTGTTATTGTCGTTGTTGATCTTTGTACTGTCAACAGGATTATTTCTATTTTCAATGACAATTGGACTCCTCAAGTTCGATTGGTCCAATCCCTATAGTAAACATGATTATTGGTTCCACATTTTTGAGTCCGATCTCCAGCTGTAAATATTGTTACAGGTGGAATTGCTTATGATTTATATTGTTGCGATGTAAATATTGGCAGATCATAGCGGACTTAAGAATTAATTTGTGAATTTACTCAATTTTGAAGTTTAGATCATTTATCTTATTCTTTTGGTAATGGAAGTTATCATATATTATGATCCAGCAAATACGAACAAGTGTATGTATTATATTATAGCATACTTTGATTCAGACTATACTTTTATGTATAGATTATTGAAGAGTTTCAAAAGTGTCATGTGGAACACCCTATTGCAAAATTCTTTGGCGAATGTACAGATTTGAAAATAAAATTGGATCGTTGCTTCAGAGCAGAAGTGAGGTTTTCAGTTTTTTTTATTATTTCTTACTTATTTTATTTATTTTAAAGTTCTTTGTTTAGATCTGGTTTTCCTGTGGTGTGTAAAAATTGTCTGTGTTCAAACAGAAAGCTGTGAAGAGAAAGGCCAACTTTGAAAAGAGCAAAGAGTTGAAGGAACAGTTGCGAGTTTTCAGAAAAGAAAATGCTGCAAACAGCAGTCAATAGAAGGATTAAAGAAAATGCTGCAAACAGCATTGAAGGATTTCCTGGTTCGTGAAAACCAAAACTGTTGTGCAAAAAATACGATTCTTAGCTTTGTACAATGGCATGATGTGATATTTTGCCATTTTCAAAACATTGAATTATTCTATTATCAATATTGTTAGAATTATTGTCATTCCTTTGTTAGAAAAAGGATTTCCTACACATTAGAGGTGTCGTGTAGCTTCTAAACAAATGTACGAAAACAAAATTCAAAATAAATGAAAAAATTATTGTTAAAGTGAGTGAGTGATCTATAAATACATGTTTTTTTTAAATTAATAACACATATTTTATATAATTTAACTGTTATACACTCAACATTAATAAGAGAGCACTCTATTTGTTTGAAAAATAGAGGATTCCTACCTTTACCATTACCTAATAGAAAGAAACTTATCACTCAAATAAAGTTAGATTAAATTGCGCTATTTGCTTTTTACTCTACTAGAAGAGAACTTCACACAAAATTAGTCAATAACATATTGTGGAAGGTATAAAGAAAAAACATTGCATATATTGCTCAAATAAAACATGTTAGTCGATACCATGGTAGAAGAATTACAAAGATATAACATTACATGGGGTTTTAATTTGGGTCAAATCATGCATTTACTAATGAAACTTTGATTTGCCGCAGACTCAGCCGTGACCATAGGTATAGTTGGTATTCACTTTGCAATTTGAAAATTTCAAAAGTATCACTATGTCAGGCTTCCTATTTTGTGCTCAAATTGTATGACAGGGAGTACAATAGAATAAAAACATGTTAAAGATTCCCAGTAGCATATTTTTTTACCATTCACAGACTTGTTATGGATAAAATTCTTTTTCACTAGCAACATTACAAACAAGCACCTATATGGAGAAACGGAAATATAGAACTATCTAATCATCAATAGTGATGATGCATCCAATAGAGATCATCTCCTTTCATTTTGATTTACTCCTCTCGTTTGGGAGAAAAGAGCATAAGTGCATCCCTCAGAGGAATTGCCTCTCTTTCACTCTCACCTTCCTTCCATACCTTGAAATCTAAGGGAGAAGTTAAACCAGAAAGAGATTCAGAATAGATTTTGAGTACGGACAATGAAAACGGTCCTCTTTTTCCACTGTAAACACCCGAACAATGAAAGTTGGGAATTTCAGGAGTCTCCAATCTCTTTCTTCCGGCTGAAATGACTTCCGAACTTTCTACTCCTTTTCTTCTGCAGCTAGGAATTTCAGGAGTCTCCGATCTCTTTCTTCCAGCTGAAGTGATTTCTGGACTTTCTACTCCTTTTCTTCCTGCAGTAGTGGCTTTAGGAGTCTCAACTTCTTTTCTTTCAGATGAAGTGACTTTAATTTTTGAATCATCTTCATCGCTGTCACTTAACATAATAACATCTATGGCAGTGGCCTTAACAGAATCAGCAAGGGTAACACTTTGTCTTTCTTGTATTGTCTGATTGACATCCATGTTAACACTCAGATTTCTGTCATCTACATCAAAAGAATCAGATTTAGTGTTATTTGGTTGGACATACAAATATTCAACAGTGCCACAAAAGACTACCAAAAATATACTTGGTACAAACCCATGTATTGTGAGCTACATTTTATATATACTTAGTGGCACATTAAAATTTTTCCTGTGTGAAGAACCTCAAAGAAGGATATAAGCAATCAGATATAATAACAAAATAATAAAAAATATCACCCTTGGATTATAAATTCACTGAGAAAGTGACCCTTTACTGCATAATAAAACATTAAAGGCTATATTATATTGAACTGATACTGAGATATCAGAGTACATGAGTAGAAAATGGAAACAAGCAAATCTAAATCACAAACAGCAGCAGATAAATGCCAACTGCCTGCCTGAATAGGCCCAAAGCCAATTCCATCAAACCAAAATGCATCTTGCCTTCCATAAAAAACCATGTCCCTGCTCTCTTCACAACCACCTCCCGTCTTCTATTATTCCTTGGCCTTACTCAATTTCTAAAAAGCATAGCCTTCTCTAACCCTAAGTCTCCTCCATGTGTTCCTATCTTCCCTTTCCTGGAATATACCTTCCATATCTCGGCGCTATAACTCAACTGCTGTATTATTGGGCTATTAACACCAGCCAGCATATTTGGTTCCTGAGTAGTCACTGTAGAGAGGATCTTGATGAAATGATAAATCACAGCATGACAAAGAATGTGAAGATAACAACAGATGCAATATCTTGAACACAATGTAAAGAATGTTTAAAAATTGAAGTAGTTATAAGCATGCCATAGATATTGATGAAAGCAGAGAGTTTAGATAGGAAAGCCTGACAGACCTGCATCATCTGTTCTCTTATCCAGACACTGAGCAAAATCATCATGTGTGGAGTATTGTTCAACAGAGCTACAATTCTCGCCAATGGCTATTTCAGACAAATCATTTTGCTCAAGCTTATCTAGTCTGGAGGAGTCTTCTGGTGACAGATTGGTATCTACCATTTCAGGAATTACTTTTGGAATTTCACTTAATAAACATGATTGTTCTGATGGAAATTCAAGATTATCTTTTCTGGAGGAGTCTTCTGGTGACAGATTGGTATAAACCATTTCAGGAATTACATTTGGAATTTCACTTAATAAACGTGATTGTTCTGATGAAAATTCCAGCTTATCTTCTCTGGAGGAGTCTTCTGGTGACAGATTGGTATAAACCATTTCAGGAATTACATTTGGAATTTCACTTAATAAACGTGATTGTTCTGATGGAGATTCCAGCTTTATTTTTCGGTCTATGTACTGAGCAAGTGTATGAAAATATGGTTAAGGCACAAATTGTCAGGCATTAAATTAGGGAACAATTCAGAACATTGATTATAGCTTCTAATATGACGTAACATTAACAAAAATGTCATGAAAGGATATTCTCTCCTCCACCCCTTTTCATTGGCCAGATCAATACGATTTCGCAACACAGCTATCTCTCTTGAGATCCACTGCCATATAAGGACAAATATCAGTAACAAAATATGATAGATCAAAGGTTCTTCTATATTCTAAAGGAATCAGAAATGTTCAATAATTTTAATAAGTCATTAGATAAATGACCTGTTGGGGATAAAGGATTGAAGGGACAACTTAAGGGCGTATTTTAAATTTTCAGTATGATTTATAGATTTACGGCCTCCTGGCACATGCTCAAGTAAATTTCAGAATTATGTGAATGTAAATTTTATGCTTGTATAGTAAGTTTTTTGAATGCTGGAAAATAGTAAGTGAGATTTTGCGCTTGCTGAATATCATGATGCATAGCCCATGTCACATGCCAGATTCCAAGTAACTTCACTTTGAATTATATTCAGCTCTAAGTTAACAATAGGAAAGAAATGGATTTATTACACAGCACAATAATATTGATATGCGACTTACATGCTTCATGATATCTTCGTGCAGAGTTCTAGCTTTCTGCTCAAGCTCCAGCTGTGAAACACACAAGTGGTTATCATTTGGTCACTACAAATCGTATCAGTTACTATTTAACAAATCAAATACTTACTCATAAGAAACACAAAGCTCACACAAGGGAAAGCCCATAAAATAAATGCTGGCCAAAATGACAATAATTAAAGGTGACACAGAACTAAAGCAAAAAACAGAGTTTATGAGACATTAAATCAATAGTATGCTTATGTTTCTCAAGACAATAATCTGAAAATTCTAACCATCTGAAAGTTCTGAGCAGATGACCATATTATGATCCCGTAAGATGATAATAAATTCTAACTATTATGTTCCTCAAATAATATGGTCCCCGTACCCGTAATATGCTGACTATAGGCTGAATACTTAATATTATGTTTCTCAACACAATAGGCTGAAAATTCTAAATATAGTACAGTCAGATAATATAATATGGTCCCCGTAAGATAATAAATCCGAACTTCTAAAATCTGACTATTAAAATTCTAACTATTAAAATCTGAAGACTTATGGGGACCACATTATCATCTGAACAGATGACCAAGCATAAATGACTCACACACAGCAAACTTACTGTAGTTGGCTTTTTGAGCACACCGTTACTCATTCTCTGATACAGATCTTGACATTCTTCCTGCAGATAATGCTTATAATTAGAAATCCATGGAATATACATGAACAACAAGGGTGAGTGCAAACTTTACAGCAGAATCCATAGCCTAGGCACAATTTCCATGAAGAATACGGTTACACATATCATATCGGATACATCAACAAACTTTGAAATCAATACCATATAATCACTTTCACATAAGAAACCCAACTATGCTCTTACTTTGGAAATAATACACTATATTCAACATCTTATAGAAAAAATGGTTTAGAAAATCAGTTTCCACTTTTACTTGGAAACTGCTACCTTGTATGCAACCAGGTTTCAGAAATGGGTGAATAGCAGCAGAAAACACTGTTAGCACAGTATTAATACCTCAGAAAAGTCATCATCAGAAATTTTGTTGATAGGTACAGCTTTTGGCACGTTAGTAAGCCTGAGTAGAATTTCTTGGTTGATTTCGCCTTTTTTAGATGATTTATTAATTCCTGTGATGTGGATACAAATATCAATGTAAGCATATAAGAAAAGTATGATATCTAGTAAAAGAACATCACTTGTGTTGACTTCTGCAGTAATGCGATATGCCAAGAAAGAACACTACTTAAACCATTCAATTTTATACTTCATTATTCTTTTCTCAAGTTATTTTGAATACAGTGTATGACTTAGATATGTGCAATATTCTTTTCCTACCAATGAAAGCTCTGGATACAATGTATGATTTAGTTATGTGCAATATTCTTTTTATACCAATTATAGCAAATTGGTGTCAAAATTACATGTATTTAAAAATACATGTAATTTAGACTCATGAAGCAAAACCAAATTTGTCATGTACTTCATAAAATTAGATCTTAAATATACTATGAAAATTTTAATATTACTCAATCAGAAGAAAAAAATAGTATTTCACTCTAATCAAATTAGAAAAAATGAGAAACAACCAGTACATATACTAGAGCCATTTCACACAACATATCATTCTATACAACATCTTCTATAACATTATTTTATAACAAAGTTGTCTGTTTCAGTATTTTGTTGTTTTTAATATTCCATTTTTCCTTTATTTAACTCACGTGTTTTAAAGTGGTAATTCATTTCTAGTCAAATTTGAAGTCAATCATTACAATATACTAGTGTCATTTCCCACCATATATCATTCTATACAACATCTATAATTTTTACTTTATAACAAAAGTTGTCTGCTTCAATATGTACAACTCTGCAATTTCATTTTTCTTTCTTTAACTCCTTATTCTACCACAATGTCTAGGTTAAACAAGCATATCTTACTAAAAGCTGCAACATAAAAAATGTGCTACTATGCATTATTAGGGAATTGATGCTTTCGTTGAACTTATAACAATATTTTAGAAATAAAACCAAAAATACGACAATATGATATTATGGCAGTGTACTTGAAAACCTGAAGCTAGTAGAATTAACTACTAGACTTCTAGTATAAAAATCGCATGGTTGATTTTAAAAGACATGACCAAGATTACCTATTACTTGCAAGAGCAGATGGGAATTATTCTGTAAATAGTCATTTGGGTCGGACTTGGTTCTAACAAAACTTCCCAATACTTTGTCATCAAAGCTTTCTGGTTGCTTCAAAAGCTCCTCAATTAAGGTCCTCTTCAAGTAGACAAGTTTTAGGTTTGAAGTATTTATAGCTGCAAATCCACTTGGAACCTCTTGAGAAACTACGAGACAAGATTTTGTAGTTGAATTCAAATGTCTCTGCTCAGAAAACTTGAATGCTTCTTTGTCACCCATTTCTTCTGAACTACTGACCATATCATCTGTTTCCTCAAAATTCTCAACAAAATGTGACGCAAGAAGGTTTTGTATATTATTTTTATTCACTGATTTACGCCTTAGTAAATTATATAACTTTGCATCACATAATACCCTTTTCTTTTTCATGGGGTCAAAAAGCTGGTTTTTCTGGCAGTAGTCAATGATGATCGATTTAACATCAAGTTCTGAAAACGCTTGGGTAGTGTCTTTACCAATATTTTTAAGAAAATCTACTAGACTTCTTGAACCCCATCCATCAAAATCTTTTTTCTTATCTTTCCCTACTTTTCCTTTTATTGATTCTAGCTTTTTCATGCACTTCTTCTTTCTCCCCGAAGACTTAACTCCTGTTGTGACATCTAGGTCGTCACTATCCGAACCCATAAAATTACTCACATCAGATTCACCACTATCATCTTCCCCATCGTCTATTTCATTTGAATCCATGTCACACTTCTTTTTTCTATTTTTAATGATGTCACGGGCCATAAGAGCATGCTGAGGATTCAGCCCTTCCTTTCTTTTAATGACTTCATAATATTCTACAAAGTAACTTTCAAATGTAGCTGGATCTTTCATATTTACTTTTTCCTGCAAATGAAAAGGCACATTATTATAAGATATATAAAGAGGAATTTTATACTGCCTGGATAAAGAAATGGACTTTCTTTACTCAATTCAACGTTTCCCACCAACAAAAAAATGAAATAAACAATTTTATTCATTAAAGTGAAACATTCCATTCATCACAATTATTGCTGGGCATAATATAAGGCATGATTGAAAAAAAAATCTTACACCATCAGAATCAACGTCGGCATTTTTCTCAATTAGAAATGCAAGTTTTGAGCAGTGCCTACAAAATCCTTTGTTTCTTTTGACAGGAGCAAAATCAAAATCACAGTAACATTTTCCGCAAACAGCTGTTGGGCAGAAGAAGCACACAAACTTTGATGGTTTACCGCATAGGCAGCAATAATGTGACCCTATAAAAGTTATTCAAAAATCATTCAGCATAAGTATAATAATTAAAATACATTTTTCCATATTCTCTTAAACATGAACAGATAAAGATGGTATCCCGAGCAAGAACATACTTTCCAAAAACATTTAAGACGGCCAATTGTCATGGTGGTATGAAATGCATAAATATGTACTACCAGACCAGCAAAAGTAAAGGAAATGTATTTGAATGCCCCGGAATAAAGACAGAGATAAACAGGGAAGCAACTTACAACAACACCAAGTCTTGTTACTTGTCAAAAAGGAAGCGTCTTCACCCACGCATTCACCATGATAAGTTTTAAGGCAATCCCTTTAATCAACCATAAAAAAAAAAAGTAAGTCACAAACAAAACAAAATGTCTGTACAAAATGATCCAAGTATCCAATATTAAAGCATACTAATGATACTGACGACAAACTTTGGTAGTAAACCACAAAATCGATAAACAAAAAACCAAATAAAACCTAAATACCAGAAACTTCTGTATTAAAGCTACCTCGCGTTGCAGTAGCGTAAGGGCATTCGCGATTTTGGTTGGTCAGTACAGATATTACGACACTGAATGTAAATTAACCACAGATATTTCAATTTGTGGCGGCCGTTTTTTAAAACCTTATGATATGATAAATGTTACAAAATCATTATGAAGATCTAAAAAGGAAATTTTAGGGCATAAAACTAGGTTAATGTCAGTTGATGATGATTAATAAAGAAATTTCCCTAAAGTTTCCAAATATACAGTAACTTAGTAAGCATGAAAATTACCATAACAGAAGTTGATGAGAAAAATGAAATTAAACACTGAAATCGATTTTGATTTTGATTTTGATTTTAGAAAATCTAAAATAGCATGCATTGATGATTGAGAACTTACTTAAAATCACAGACTCTCATGTTACCACCATCCTTGCAAACGAAACAACAATCCTCAGCGATTTCTTCCTTCTTTCTTTTAACGTTTCTTTTCCGCATCTTTTTTGTTCAACAATGAGCTCAATGTAGCTGAAGAAAACGAAAATAAGAGAAAATGTGGATGATCGATTTCACAGAAAAAATCAAATTAGCGAAATCGGAAATGAAGCGACGAAAAGTTACCTTGCAAGGAACGTTGAAGGTTTTAGGAAGGTGAAAATGTGTTTGAGAGTAATGTTTGAGAATGAAAAGGGGAATAGGGTATATAACGAGAGAGAGAGAGAGAGAGAGAGAGAGAGAGAGAGAGAGAGAGAGAGAGAGAGAGAGAGAGAGAGAGATTTGATGATAGTGGGAGAGGAAATGGAGTGTGAGTGGAGTGGGAATGAATGGTAGTTTCTAAGTTTTTGTGGGACTGGAAACAAAACAAAACGGATTTTTGTGGAACGATACACCAACACCGCGACTCAATTCGAATCATTATTTCATTATTGTATTTTATTACATGAATTCTCTAACAAGGAGTAATAGACTCTCCAATGGCACACTTTCATCTTGGGGATGGCAAAACGGACCCGGTTTGATGGGTATGCCTGTTTTATCTGCACTTTAGTGTGAGGCAGATCAAGAATTTAGACATTCATCCTCTAATGTGACCGCTTCGTCCCGCCTCATTTTCTTTGTAGGTTTTTGCAGACATGATTATTAGCATAAATTTTTTCATTTTTAGGCCTAATAGGTGCAGTGTCCACGGGCTTTCCTCGTCCCGCACTCACTTTTTTGCAGGGTGGGCTTAGGTTTTAGGCCCTCATCCTCAACTAAGCCCGCTCTGCTCCGCCCCATTTTTTGTGGGCTTTTGCGGGGCAGGCCTAAACGGGGCAGGCATATGCCCGTTTGCCACCCCTACTTTCACTGATCCTAAAAACAATCCTGAATAAAAAATGAAATAAAATAGACAATTATTTCATTATCTATAGTATAAGAAAACTCATTCTACCGTAAAAGTTTATTTTGTCATTTTGTTCCAAAAACACAACACGTGGATAACTTCTTTGATCTCTATTTCATTTTTTCACAAATCTCTTAATTATTTTCTCAGATCTCAAACACGTGTTTTCTCAATTCTCAAATGTGGGAGCGCTCAAACTTCCCTTGTTCATCATCAGTTTCGTAACCGCTTTCTATTCCATATTCCATTTTCAAAAACCACCCCTTTCACTGCTTCACGATCTATATTTAGGGTTTTCTTTCACTTTTCTTACGCGTTTAGGGTTTCGTTTTTCCTTCAATTCAATATTCATCCACCATGAAACCTGCTGATAACATGTGAGTTTCTTCTCTCGGTTGCGTCGATTCAGTTTTGCAATTTGAATCTATTAGTTTTGCGTTCTTTTGTTCTAATGTTTCTGATCTCGTGTTCGTTTTTATTTGTTAGGTTAAAGCGCACGGGAGTTGGTGCTGGAACTAAGCAATTGAAGAGAAGCTGCGAAGGATCCTAACAAGCCTAAGAAACCTCCAAGTGCTTTCTTCGTTTTCATGTATGTTTTCGTGCTGAAAATTGTTCGATCTACTTTGTTTTTGTTGATATCGGTTTAGATTCGTTTTTTCAAGGTGAATCAGTTTCTGATTTATATTCTCGTGATTTTTCTATCGTTTTAGGTCTGAATTCATAGAGACATTCAAGAAGGAGAATGTGGTGAGTTTTGTGACGTTAAGTTACCGTTCTGTGATTGATTTCCTCCTGACTTTGATTTTCTATAACAGTTTGTGTTTCTATGTGTTGCAACTGCTTTTTTTAATAGAGTCGCCACCCTTAATTTTTATCCTAATGGAATGGAGTATAAAGGAATAACCCTATGAGAAATTCAGAGATTCTAGGTTTGGACTCAGTTCTAGACTAGGGGAAGGTGTTAGGCACCCCTCATCTACCCTGTTCGCAAGGATACTAGGTTTAGAAGCATATTTTTTAGGAAATAGGGTTTTATATAATTATTGGGGAAAAAGGGGTTGAATTTTTAGTTAGCGGGACTCGCCACGATTTTCGATCGTATGCCTACGTATCCTCTTATGAGGAATCAGAGTCATATTTTGTAGTTCGCGATTAGTTTGTGTTTTTTACGGATTACGCGAAATATTTTAATTTTCCCCGCACTTAGTTCGAATGTGTAGATAGCGGAAATTTTGAACTAAGCGCGAAGTTAATTAAAAAACTCTTTGTATTCTTTTTTGAAGATTAATTGTTTGATTTAATTTATTACAAAAAAAAAATTTAACGTTTGTTTGCGTATTTTTTAGACGTATATAACTGAAGAGTCTGATATAGCTCTCTTATCACGTGGCCAAATATTGGCCACGTGTCGCTTACAAATATTATGGCTAAAAAAATACGGGTTCTGATATATGGATATAAAGCATTAACCTAAATTATGTCGCGGATTTTTTTTTTAAGTGTGAGCTTTTAATAGGAATAAACCAATATATATATTCACTAAGTCTAAAAATCAATAATTAATTATGATAATAAGTAAATAATATATATATATATATATATATATATATATATATATATATATATATATATATATATATATATATATATATATATATATATATATATATATATATATATATATATATATATATATATATATATATATATATATATATATAAATAAATACAAAAATATAATTAAATAAATAAATATAAGAATAGATTTATAAAGAGAATATATAAAATAAAAATATATATAATTAGAGATGGGGTGTTGTTCCTAGTTAGCAAGTGAAAGGAGGGGTGCTAATAGTAGTCTGGCTAGGCCCAAGTAAGTTTTTAGATAGGGGGTACGAATGGTTTGGAGTCTTAGCAAGAGGAAAAAATTACAGCCTAACATGTCCAAAAACGCACCAAGAAAAGAAAGGTGGGTCGGGTCATTCTTCCTTGGCCTGATACACATTTTCTTTTATTCTTTCAATCTTTGTAACCTCCCCACCCTTCTCTCTTTCTCGTTCCATCCGCCTTTGTCAAAAAACAGTAGAAAGGGGGGTGTTGTTTTGAAGGTGATGGGTATCTCCTTGAATGAGGGTCCACTTGTTGCCTTTCTTCCTAACGAAAACACAAATCAAATCCAAATAATTTTTCCTTATGACTTTTTTTTTTACTTTAAAACATTTTCAAAAAGGATATGTTAACTCCTTTCTACACTAAAAAATGATGCATAGTCTCCAACGGCCGAGTGGCAACGTTAATTGCTAGAATGCGAATTTAACATCATCTATAAAAAAAACACAACAAACAAAACATTTAAAAAAAAAACTATAGTGTTCTGATTTCTTTGTGGATATGTAGGCATGGAGTTTCAATGCTCACGCGAACACACTAATAAAAACCTTTTCTTTTTTCCCAGTGAATGAATGCATACATTCTCCTTTAGCAAGTAAATTTTAGATAAACACACTCATTGAATAGAATAACAAGAGTGGATCCCGTGGATTACCACGAACGTGAGGGGTGCTAATATCCTCCCATTGTATAATTGACTCCCTTACCTGAGATTTGGTTGCGAGACCATGTTCTTTTCCTGATACCAAAGGTTTTCTCTATATTTTCCTTTCCCCATTCTTTGGGATAAATAAAGTTAGGTGGAGAATCAGTTTGTTCCATCAGAGGTTATATCGTTCTATATTTTTTCGAGTAGCTTCAAACCCCAAATCAACCAATGATATTGGAGGACAAACCCGATGATTCTTCCGGTTTAAGACCCTACAAATCTCAACCCAAACTCAATTGGAATCTCAAACTTCGTTTAGATGACACCCAAATAGAACATCATCACAATGTAATGTTAGTGTGTATGGATAGATTAGAAGGTTGAAGAAGAAGAACAAATATAGGCTAATTTTATGGTATCATCGAGTTGGAATGATGCATGAATGATATGTTTATAGTTGGACTTTTTTTAGTTAAAAGAGGGTAGTTTCAGAATGAAAAAATGATCCACAAAACATTATGTGTCAACCTGAAAAAGTTATGTGTTGACACATGTAAAACATTGGCTAAAAGCTTTAATAATGTAGTACATGTGTTGACCTGAAAATCATATGTGTCGACACATGTGCCTGTGTTTTAAAGTAGAAATGCTTAAAGTTTTAATAATGCAGTACATGTGTCGACCTATAAATCATATGTGTCGACACATACTGAAGCTTTTAAGAAAATGCATAAATGTAGAATTTATGTGTCGACACATAGAAATTTCAAGTCGACACATAAATGATGATTTTATGCAAAAAATGATTTTTCATGATTGAGACCAATATTAAAGTTATTTTAAATGATTCCTAAGACCTCTAATGCAAGGGAGTGTCACAAAGACATAAAGATATTGTCCACCATACTGAAATGCTAACTTTCTGAATTTTGACATCATACAAAACATCTAATAGTGAAGCTACACTCACATATTTCACATTGAATTTAAAATGAGTTACAGAGATTTATAACCCCACTAAATATATTAATTTTGAAAGAAAATAGCAATGAAATACCAAATAATTCATTCAAAATATATTAGTGAATATATAAATTACAATAGTTACTGCCACTGTATCACTACAAAGTATTAAGAGAGGTTTCTGCAATTAACTTATCATAAATCATATTATTAACATTAAACATATTTTCTAACAAAACCAATCCCAAAGGTGATGTTTGATAAAGGATAACTCTGCAATTAAAAAAGAAAATATATTAGGTCGCAGGTTATAGTATCAAGTATGAATTGATTTAGAGTAATAATAAATTGACTGTTTAATTTATATTATCATTATTCTTTGATAAGACATATCTAACCTCAACATTAGTATCACACTCATCCCTTAAGAACAACGTCAAAATATGACTCACATTTGTCCACATAAACTGTCAAATGAATATGTTAACAAACATTCAAATGAATTTGTCATGATATATTAATGAATGCTTTCCTCCAATTTCATCTATAATTAGAGTTTGGTAATCAATAAAATGCAATTCATGCTAGAAATTGTGTCTTCACTGCAATAACCAGTCTTTTCCCCGACCAAGAAATACATAAAGCTTAGCTAACATGTTCCAAAGAAAATCATAATGACTTGATAATATGGATGCTTCCAACATCCCCATAATTATACGATAGATACTAATATAACACTAGTAATATGAAAACATCGGTTTATACATCTAGACAATACAATAACTAATAACACTAGTAGAACCACAACACATGAATTTTAATGAAAAAGCGTTGCAGTGGAGAAGCATTATAATTTCTCACAAATTCTTCAACCCTTTGATCATTCTCAAGTGTGTTCGTGTTGTCTCCATATTGAGAATCTAACAATCCATATAAGGTTCATGCAACAGGAAAAACTCAGTTGTACCACTTCCACCATATTAATATCCTCTATGATTATTACAGGTTACACCGTAATTTGTACACCTATAAATATAATAGAAGAATACATTGACCCCATTGCATTAGAAAGATCTTACTCCTTTCTCTCTAAATATAATTCTTTTGAATTTCAATTCTCACATTTATTTATTAAGTTTTATTTCAATGCATTGTTTATTTTTGCACATACCTTGTTTATGTATATTGTGTATCGAAGTATAATTCCTTTGAACCTTGAGGAGGTATACTTAATTCTTATATCAATTATTTATTTCTCATAAACAATTACAAAGTATCAATAAGCAATTGATTATAACATTAGTGATTAATACAATAAGGTATAAAAAAAGTTCTAACTGGTACAATTCTGAGTTTCTGTAGACATTAGTGAAGTTGACCTGAAGATTTTTCTCTCATCCTGCTGATGTAACTTCTAACATCCATGTTGCAGGATTATAATCATCTTTGATCTTAGGAACTGCTTGAGTAGCCTATAATATTCATACACTAGGTGAATATGCTAATATTACATAAGCTACATTATAATATGCTCAACATCATTTACATTAGACTCACCTCAAAGTATTGAATCAAATGAGCACAGTTGCGGCCAAATGGATCGACATATATTTGCTCACCTCTCAATTTCATAAGTAGAAGCTGAAAAGGTTAATATTTTAAATTTAGAAAACAAAAGGCCAAAAAAAGTTCTACCTCAATGGAATTATGATTTGTTACCTCATCAAAGGCGTCAAAAATGTCAATACTTGGTTGATGGATCATGCAAACTACGGTACATCCTGTGTCCATGGTGTTCCTCACTGTTCTCATTACAATTGCAGCAACTTTAGCATATTCAAGATTGCTCCACCCGCCTGGTATTAGGCTAAGCTCTAGGCCTTCGAATGATTCAATCCAATGGCCAACCATGATTCCTGCATTGAACAAAAGGCGAGAAAACATTGGCAACTTCACATCCCATTTCAGGTCATGATACCAAGCATAGTAATCTCCGTACAACCGCTTCCGAACTAACATTAAAGAAAAAGAAGTAATGATATACAAAAAAGAAAACCGAAGGTCAACCTTCAAGGTAGACATTGAAATAAGCTTGTGGAACAAGGGTGAGCCATGTAAAATCGGATGTAACAATTGGCAATTGCTCAAATATGTTTGCCTCACCAAGCACGTGTTCCCGAAAGCAATATAACCCATAAGATGCAAGCACTACAACCACCAACCATGGCCGGTACATCCAAGTCCAGCTAAAATACATCCAGAAGAAAGGATTTAAGAGCATATTAATAGTGCATTTCATGTAGTTATGACAGGTAGTATCGTTGAAACACCCTATATTTAAGATTAATTATATTTATTTAATTAATTTAACGTAAATATATGAGTTATTGTGAAGTATTTAATATATATATATATATATATATATATATATATATATATATATATATATATATATATATATATATATATATATATATATATATATATATATATATATATATATATATATATATATATATATATATATATATATATATATATATATATAATGTTTTCGTGTTTTTAGGTGAGTAATTGTGATGTTTAATGAATATGAGGTATATTATGATGATGAGATGAATATGAAGTCTAATATGATGATTGGTGAGGTGAGTGATGAGATAATAAGAGATATTTATAATTTAAATAATTAGTTAGAATTGTTTAGATTTAATAGTAATTATTTGGATAAAATAAATAGAATAATTGATGTAAAAGAAATAAGGGAAAAATGGTAATTAGTTAATAGTTAAGTGAGGGCATGATGGGGAGTTCATTATTAGGGATCCAATGATTAGATAAGAAATATAGAGAAAAGTGTTCATTATGTACAATCGTGAAAAGATTAGACGTTGTGGAAAAAGAGAGTTATGGCACAAGAGCACAAGGAAGTTTTCGGTAGAACGCGGAGAGGAATCGGAGGCTAGCAATAATCTTAAGATAAGATAAGTTTTATCTTTATTATTATAATTGATTTAAGGTTTAGATAGTTGTAGGTTTTTGGTGAAGTTTTGATGGTGATGAATATGTGATGATTTGATGAAATAGATGATGTTTGTGGCCTTGAATTGTAGACAATTTGTACCTATAATATAGAATACATTGAATTGCTGATATTTGGTGAAAACCATGTAATTAGATAATGTTTTAGGACCTATAATATGCAGAAATCGCAAGGTTTGAGACTGATTTATGCAGGAAAACCCTATTCGTGCAGGATCGTCGAACGATGGAGTATCATCGTCGGACGATGGTGACAGGCTTGGTCGTCGCTGGGTAAGCCAAGAGGTGAGGAAGGACAGAAAATATGGATGCTAGTGGAGTGCATCACTCCAAGCAGTGGCAGAGCCAGAAAAATTATGAAGCATGGGCAAAAAATTTAAAGTCCACCAATTCACAATGTATATAATATAAAGACTGAAAATTTATATTGTAAACAAAATTTAAAGACCACAAGTTCACATTGTCAACAAAACTATTGTTTAAACTAAAAGAGATTAAACATAATCTTACAATAGCATGTTAAATAAATTAGGAGGCAAATGTCCTTTTCGAGACTTCTTTGCAGTGAATGTTCGAATAATATCGACATCATCAAGTGACTTGAATATCTCCCGCTCGGTGTAACATATCATTAAGTCATTGAACCACACATCGTTGATCTTATTGTGCAAATTAGACTTGATAATCTTCATTGCTGGAAAAGCTCTTTCAACAGATGGTATCGACACCAGCAATATCAAAGCTAACTCAATAAGTTTTTAAACCAATGGAAATATCAAATGTTTCTCAGTTTGAACCATCTTCATAGCAAAACTTTGAACAACTTCACAAGTGGAAAAGTAAGCATGTCTTTTCACGTGAAGAACATAAGTGTCAAGTTGATCCCTGATTGTTCCACGATCATCATCATAAAAGTCTGCATGATAAATATCAGCAATACGAGCAAGCTTATCAACATCAAACTCAGAGAAAGAGTTCTTGGGGTCAAGACATGAGAAGCAATCAAGGATAATGTTACTTTCTTCATTAAAGTGGTGATCCATCTCCACACATATTTTGTCAATAGAAACATAAAAAATATCTACACGATAATAATGAAGATTAGTGATAGTTCTTCATTCTATCCTTGAACGACCTCAAACCGGTGTTTCATCATCCATATTTGACACCGAAATACCTTTAGCAACACAAAATTCTTAGACATCGGCAAATAAATTATCCCAACCACTCTCTCTCATTGTGGCCAACCGAGCCTTAACATCATCAACTAATTCCATGGAAATAAAAATGTTAAGATCTTTTCTTTGCAAGACATTTGAAAGCTCGTTTGTGATACCAAACAACTTTAACATTAACTTCAAAATGAAAGAAAATTTAAAGCTCTCCATTTTTTTAATCAAACCCGCTGCTTGAGATGGTCCTTGTCCATCTTCATCAACCATACTAAGCACCTTTAACACGAAGGACCACATTTGATTCAAACGAAGTAATATAGTATGATGTGAACCCCATATAGTATCCCCATCTGGTTGCATTAGACCCTTCAATATATATTCCCTCCTCACTTGGTCTTGAATATTTGGAGCATACTCACTAATTTCTTTCCTACGACCTGGATCACACACAATCTAATTGGGTTAAACTCATTAACCACATTAGGAGATGGTTCTTATTCGGCTTCCTGTTGCATAACATTCACATTCTCAATACTTTCTCTATCAACCAAAAATCTCCTCATCTCTGAAAGTAAATGATCTTAAGTTAGTAAATGTAATTGGATCCAAAGACAAACTTATGAAATAAACTTGGACAAATGGACTAATATTAAAATCAACAATTTTCCAACTCAATGGACACAATTACTAGTAAAAGAAGATACTTTCCAAATTTAGAATAATAGATGAAATAAATTATTTTTTGGATCATGGTAAAAAAGTCTATAGAATCTTATTGGTGAATGAAATAGTGTTCACTATTCACATGTGCTTAGCCGTTAAAAAGCTGGAATTGGAGATAATATTTACAAACTTTTGGACTACTTGCACATTTTAGATATTTTTAATCATGTAGCCAAAGCAAAATCAAGTAGTACTTCTAAATAAAGTCGACTAACTGAGAGAAAGAAAGATAAAATAAAAATAACATGTTCCCTCTCTTCTTCTCTATTCACGCCCTTTCATCTCTCAATTTTGTATTCCTCTGTTTCTGTCAAATGCAGAAAAAATATCAACAATAAAAGAAAACTCAATCTCTTTGTGAATCAACATCAACATCAAATTATCTTACAACAAGAATATCAATAGAGAAATAGAAATAAAGGGTGGAGAAGGATACCACTAACCAGAGGAGGGCAGAGACGAAGTCATCGTCACGGAGATGAGAAGATTCATTCTTTTGTGTTGCTGAGCGTTTTTCCTTTTCTTTCATTTTTGTACATTTTTCTTTTTTTTTCCTTTCAATTTTTTGCCTTTTCTTTTATCTTTTACCTAAAAAACCATTTGAGCCAAAGTAAAGAGCCTGGGCAGTTGCCCATGCTAGCCGTATGGTGAAACCGCCCCTGACTCCAAGCGTCGCTAGGCGACGCAAGGTGCAAATGGTGTTTCGCCAAATGACGAGGAGCCTCGCCAGGCGATGGTGTCCGAAATTGAATGGTTGAGTTAGACTTTCTTAAAAGTACCGTAACTTGAGTTTTAGAACTCGGTTTAAGGTGTCGCTCAAAGTGTTGGATAGCTAACACAATGAACTTTAGTTATATGGAATAAAATGAGAAATAAGAAGTATATTGCCAATACCTAAGATAGGATAGAATTAGATTCCCCGTGTTAATTCGTAATGATGCTTTGCTTATGATGATGTTATGATGATGTGCTTACTGCATGATGATGTTATGATGATGTTTTGTTTATTATGATGTTATGATGATGTTTTGTTTATTATGATGTTATGATAATATTTTGTTTATTATGATGATGTTGTGATGAATTCATGGGAGATTATGCGTTTTGACTAGTCGTGGTCGTGTTTATTATGTTATTGCGCATCATACATTCATGGCATATTATAGGACTTCGGTCTAGTGATGTTTTGCAGGATATTGATCCAGTGATGTGTATAGGACGATATGGTCCAGCGATGGCCTCAACCCCATAGTGTGGATTGAGTGTAATTTTGTGAAGTGCTCTGGTTTCAAGTGGGAACCGATCCTATTAGTGGGGATCTTTGAAGATAACGATGACTGAGTCATCAACAAATTTTTGGTACCGCGTGCATGAGTCTAATGAAGTGCATTACATTATATGTGACATTTCATGATGATTGATTATATGATAATGACGTTGTGATGGTAATTATGATGCTCGACAACGTGTATTAGCATGATGATATAATAATGTGTTTAATATGAGTATATGATATCATGAGTATAACATGAGGAATTAAGGATGTGTGGGTTCTTGTTGTTGTGTCATTAACTACTATATTTATTCCTTATGTCTTTTATAATGATTATGATTTACTTACCCCTTTTGCTTGGAAATATTGCCTCTATACATGGGTAACTTGCAGGTGATCATGATTAGTGCAGGAAGCTTAGAGGATAGCTTCAGAATGCATTTATTTGTTTCTGTTGAATAAAAGGGAGTCTTACTTGATATGTAACATCGGGTTGGGATCGTTTGATTGAAAACTTTATGTCTTTAGTTTACTTTGAGTCTATGATGAGGATTTTTTTATGTACAATAATAATAAGACTTGTTTTGAGACTATGATTTTCGCTGCGATATTGGAAGTGATTATATGGTGAGACCAAAGTATTATACATTTTAAAAGTGTTTTGTAACCCGTGTTACATAGCATGATTTATTATTATTTGATATTTTATGAAGATGTGATGCCCTTCTGTGGTCTTTATTTGATTTTATTTTCGTAAACATATATGTGAAATATATATGAGTTTATAAGGGTGTTACATTAGTGGTATTAGAGCAGGTCGGTCTATTCGGCCAGGTTATTGAGTCTGTAGTGTACAAAAGTGGAATAATACCGAGATAGTTTCTAAACATTGTGACGTTATTGGTGAAATAGTGAAATGGCTGGAAGAAATGATAATGCACTTGTTGCTGCTTTGCAGGCTATTGCTCAGGTTGTGCATTAGTCTAATGATAGATCCCATGTTTTGGATATGTTTTAGAGGAACTGTTTGTCTGTTTTCAAAGGTAGATTCGACCCAGATAGAGTGCAAGTGTGTCTCAATGAGATTGAAAGAATCTTTTGGGTCATGGGTTGCTCATAGGCACAGAAGGTGCAGTTTGGTATGCATCAACTAGAAGAGGAAGTTGATGAGTGGTGGATTGTGCTGAAGAGATAAAGCGGCAAAAAAAAGTTTTGGAAATATTCTTCTGGGAAATTTATCGTATCCACAGGATCAGTGCTACTGAATTTCTGTTCGACAATTTTTTGCATTTATGAGTTTAGGGGTTTAATTTGGTGGATTTGTATAGAAAGGGTAAAAACTATTGACAAGAAAATAAATGCATAACAAAGTAAAGGAAAAACTAATCCAGCACGAATGTACACTACTCATCACAAACTTAAACCTATGGACCAGTTGTACTCAACATATAATACTCATTAACATCATCATGTATCGCTCACAACAATGTCCATCTTGGAAACACTAAGTTGAGAGAAAAATCGTAATACTCTCGTCGATAATCTCTCAACCGACTCAAGCAACACGAAAGCATTAAGCTTAAATACCCACATTATTATTAGCTCTGAATCTATCTCTAGAATCTAGAAACCAATAGATTTACTTTCGTAATTAATATTTGTGAGATTTATCTCTACAATAACAGAAATCCAAACATAAATGCAAAAAGATCAAGGAAAGCACAAGATTGATTGGTAAAACATATATATTATATAACACCATGATCAATACATAACATGGGTTTAGAGTGAGAGTACAAACAAAACCTAATAAATAGAGAAATACACAAAGAAGAAGAGAAATGAACCATAAATATCCTGGTTTGTCAGCGCCTTATTGATGAGAAATCCACCCCAGATCATCTGTGTGCAAGCTCCATAGTTATTTTCTAGCTTTTCTAGACAAAAAATGTTTGATCGTGTTGGGACTCAAAAATACCATAAATTCATCGGTAGATGAAAAACACAAGCTCAATCATGAATCACACCTAGTAAAAATTCATCGGTAGATGAAAAACACAAAAAGTATGGATTTGACACTCATCCAACAATCTTGCAAATAAAAGACTAAATTATGCATTCATCTAAAAACTCATATTGAAAATACAAAAGCAAGAATCACAAGGGCTTTTCAAGATTGTAATGTGGTTTGGTTAACAAACAAGAGATAATTCCTAAAGCTAATTGAAACAAAAACTTTCCTAAATCTAAAGGAATGATCAATTCACCAAAGACTAAAGTAACACAATTTCAATCAAACTTCTTCAACACTCCCAATTTGTCACACCAAAACACCATACTTATTTGCACAATTATTTGAACTCTTTTTTTTCTTCTTTTTCAAAGATCTTTTCAATTTTTTCTTTCTTTTTCATTTCTTTTCTTTTTCACATTTTTTTTCTATTCTTTTTCATATTTTTTTCTTTTCTTTTTCTTTTCAACCTCATAGCAACAAATACATAAATGAGCAAACATTGTTTTC